ACATTACCGAGGTTACATAATGGGTCCAGGAACTGTACCTCAACATTACAGAGGTACATAATGGGTCCAAGAACTGTACCTCAACATTACAGAGGTACATAATGGGCCCAGGAACTGTACCTCAACATTAGAGGTACATAATGGGCCCAGGAACTGTACCTCAACATTACAGAGGTACATAATGGGTCCAGGAACTGTACCACAACATTAGAGGTACACAATGGGTCCAGGAACTGTACCTCAACATTACAGAGGTACATAATGGGTCCAGGAACTATATCACAACATTAGAGGTACATAATGGGTCCAGGAACTGTATCACAACACTACAGGAGCTGAGTCTCGACTCCTACAACTACAACAGGTGGACACATACGCCTGTGTTCCTCCATGTTTGGTTCAGCCTTTAGGCCCAACATTCCCTGGATGGTCACCGTCTGGAAAAACTCTATCCTATGGATGGTCACCGTCTGGAAAAACTCTATCCTATGGATGGCACGTCTGGAAAGAACCCCATCCTATGGATGGTCACCATCTGGAAAAACTCTATCCTATGGATGGTCACCGTCTGGAAAAAACCCCATCCTATGGATGGTCACCATCTGGAAAAACTCTATCCTATGGATGGTCACCGTCTGGAAAAAACCCCATCCTATGGATGGTCACCATCTGGAAAAACTCTATCCTATGGATGGTCACCGTCTGGAAAAAAACCCCCATCCTATGGATGGTCACCATCTGGAAAAAAACCCATCCTATGGATGGTCACCATCTGGAAAAAACCCCATCCTATGGATGGTCACCGTCTGGAAAAAAACATCCTATGGATGGTCACCATCTGGAAAAAAAAAAACCCGAGCCGGGACAAGACCGGCAAACCTAATACAGAATACTGGATGAACCTGGAAAGGTACATCCACCTAGACATTACTGGAACAGGGAATCTTCGAGTTTCGTGCTATTGTGTCATGTGGTGGCCTGGTGGTTAAAGCTCTCGCTTCCCACGCGTAGCGCCCGGGTTCGATTCCCTGCGGGGTGAAAACATTTCGCCGTGTTTCCTTACACCTGTTGTCCTGTTCACCTAGTAGCAAGTAGGTCCCTGGGTGTTAGTGGACTGGTGTGGGTGGCATCCTCGGGGACAAGATTGAGGACATCAATGGAAAGTTTGGCAGTCCTAGATGACTTTTTTTGTTTATCCTGGGTGGCTAACCCTCCTGGGTTAAAAATCCTAAGAAAACCTTATCTTTCTTAGTGGTTCTCTTCTCTGATTCTTAGTCTTCCCTGGCACTTCTGTGTTCTGCCCGTCCACGGTCCTTCGGTTTCTTAGTCCAACAGACGCAGTTACTTCTGCATTTCTTGCGAAGTCCAGGTTGGGGCATCTCCCTTCAGTGGGTACCGGCTCATATTGGCATTCAGGGCAATGAAGTGGCTGATCGAGGGGCTTCCCTTGCACACACACTTCCTACCATTACCTCTCTGGGCCGCAGTGATTTCATAAGGATTGCTTGGAGGAAAATCCGCCATTTATGGCAGGAGGATCTGATCCCCTCCCTCTCATCTCCGGCAATGAGATCTGCCCCATCTTTCAGTGCCTCCTGCCCTCTGGTACGCCGTCTCAGTCGCTCGGTGGAAGTTGCGCTGACTCGTCTCCGGGTTGGGCATTTACGAGTTAGTTTAATATCCTTATTATGTACCCCATACCCATCCTGTGGACGGTAGTCAAAAGCTTGCAGAGGTACACAATGGATCCAGTGACTGGGCCCCAAAGTTTGGATAGATGTCCTGGAATTTGTATTCATAAAGCCACTGGATGGCGAAACGTCTACAATAAAGATACCCAGATGTTGCACATGTGTCTTAATTTCAAGTTATAAAGGTAATGAATTTTGTACATGTCTATATCTGGTCACAATCATGCCCAAGTTACAAGATAGTGAGCCATTTACACGTATACATATGATCACAATCATGAACAAATTGGCAGCTCATCTGCACCGCCTACGGATGACGGACTGTCCATACTGCCCCTGGTGTCCCTCTCAGCCTGAAATGGTGGAACACTTCCTACTGTGGTGTCCATGTTACCACTCTATACGGACCCTCCATCCTGGGGCCTTGCTCACATTAGTAAGTTTATTCAGGTATACACAAATACAGTTACATAGATTATCATACATAGCAACATGTGTGTAGAGAACCTGGGATAACCCAAAAAAGTCAAAGTGCAGTCTTTGACCCTGCCTCTCCTAGTCATGACTGTGACCAGATCTACCTGGAGTTAATTACCTTTGTAATTTGTTCAACTATAAAAACTTTGGGGTCCAGTCCCTGGACCCATTATGTACCTCTGTAATTTTTTGACCACCACCCACAGGATGGATATAGGGTGCATAATAATTATATTAAACTAACTAAAAACTCTCCTTCTCAATGGGGAGGGGTTTGACCCTCCAGACCGTCAGGAGATCCTGTACCTGCACATTATTGCTGGCTTCAGGTCGCATTAAAGACTTATAACACGCATTATTAGTCAACTTCCTTCCATTTTGGTCAAGGTTCCTCTTCCGGACACTGGAAGGAAGGACTCGATACGGTGTAAGCTGTCAATGACCCTAAAAACATTGCCTGAAATGCCCAGGCATGCTAGCGGCTTTCTTTGTAATTAATATTTTGTAATATGTAAACCACACATTTTAGGGTTTGCAAGGAAATAAACATTTTCATTTTACATAACACTGTCCTCTCAGTCTCTCATATAATAATTTACCATAGTGTCCCTTACTATATTAGTCTTTGATGGGTAACTCAATCAAAAGTTTTCTTATTAAGAGATTTGATGATTTCAGTGAATGTAATAGGTTTTACCCATTCCCAGCTGCTTGTTACTTCTCATTGACAGCTGCTTGTTACTTCCCATTGCCAGCTGCTTGTTACTTCCCATTGCCAGCTGCTTGTTACTTCCTTTGCCAGCTGCTTGTTACTTCCCATTGCAGCTGCTTGTTACTTCCCATTGCCAGCTGCTTGTTACTTCCCATTGCCAGCTGCTTGTTACTTCCCATTGCCAGCTGCTTGTTACTTCCCATTGCCAGCTGCTTGTTACTTCCCATTGCCAGCTGCTTGTTACTTCCCATTGCCAGCTGCTTGTTACTTCCCATTGCCAGCTGCTTGTTACTTCCCATTGCCAGCTGCTTGTTACTTCCCATTGCCAGCTGCTTGTTACTTCCCATTGCCAGCTGCTTGTTGCCCCATTACCAGCTGCTTTCCTCATTACCAGCTAGCTACCCCATTACCAGTTGGTCCCCCATCCTCAGCCTCTACTCCCCATTAAAGGTCAAGTGTTATGGACTGTAACTCGGGGAGTATCCATAGGTTCTTGGCACTGGCCTCAGAGGGCCATTTTATGGCCCTGGCCAATACCCTGAGTGCCACAATCTTTTTTTATTAATATCAAAAAAATTAACGGCGTTTTCAAAACTGTGACATTTTGAGAAAAAAAATTATTTTTAACAAGGTGACTTTCACCTTACCTTCAAGGTAACCCACCTTACCTTCAAGGTAACCCACCTTACCTTCAAGGTAACCCAACTTACCTTCAAGGTAACCCACCTTACCTTCAAGGTAACCCACCTTACCTTCAAGGTAACCCAACTTACCTTCAAGGTAACCCACCTTACCTTCAAGGTAACCCAACTTACCTTCAAGGTAACCCAACTTACCTTCAAGGTAACCCACCTTACCTTCAAGGTATCCCACCTTACCTTCAAGGTATCCCACCTTACCTTCAAGGTATCCCACCTTACCTTCAAGGTATCCCACCTTACCTTAAAAGTAGCCCACCTTACCTTCAAGGCAACCCACCTTACCTTCAAGGTAACCCACCTTACCTTCAAGGTAACTTCGTGCTATTACTGTATACAGTTGTCTATCGTTCCATCTGAAATTCCTTTCAGGGGAAACTAACTCGTTATTGACAGCCGATAACGGAGAGGCAGGTGTGACGTTACTTGTGTTATGTGGTGTTACTTGTGTGTTATGTGGTGTTACTTGTGTGTTATGTGGTGTTACTTGTGTGTTATGTGGTGTTACTTGTGTGTTATGTGGTGTTACTTGTGTGTTATGGGGGTGTTACTTGTGTGTTATGTGGTGTTACTTGTGCGTTATGTGGTGTTACTTATGTGTTATGTGGTGTGCGTTATGTGGTGTTACTTATGTGTTATGTGGTGTTACTTGTGCGTTATGTGGTGTTACTTATATGTTTTTGTGGTGTTACTTGTGTGTTATGTGGTGTTGTGCGTTATGTGGTGTTACTTATGTGTTATGTGGTGTTACTTGTGTGTTATGTGGTGTTACTTGTGTGTTATGTGGTGTTACTTGTGTGTTATGTGGTGTTACTTATGTGTTATGTGGTGTGTGTTATGTGGTGGTTTACTTATGTGTTATGTGGGTGTTATGTGGTGTTACTTATGTGTTATGTGGTGTGTGTTATGTGGTGTTACTTATGTGTTATGTGGTGTTACTTGTGTGTTATGTGGTTGTTACTTTTTGTGTTATGTGGTGTTACTTGTGTGTTATGTGTTACTTGTGTGTTTATGTGGTGTTGTGTGTTATGTGGTGTTACTTGTGTGTTGTGTGTTTTCTTTCATTTACTGTATATATACACCGAGACATATATATATATATATATATATATATATATATATATATATATATAATATATATTAAAATATATATTAACACCAAGGTGTCCTTCTCTGTGTATATACACAGAAAATTGTGTATCTCTCATTGTATATACCCTGATAGTTTTATGTCTCTCATTATATATACACTGAGAGGTGTATATCTCAGTGTAGTTTACATTAATCGGTATTTTAGATGACATGCAACCTTAATGACCCTGGTGTAGTAGATAGACTTTAAACCCCATTAACCAACACTTTTACAGAGTTCAAAGTTACAAAATGTCAGGACGTCTAGAGGGATAACTAAAGTAAACTGACCTGGAAGCGAGCTTGTATGGTGTCCAACTGGTGTTTAGTGACCTTGATCTGCCTCTTGGTCATGTCTGTCGGCTGTTTGGCGTTGAAAGGGTAGGAAATACAACGAAGGATGAAGACGTAAAGTTGTAGACGTTTTTTGCGTTCCTCTTCCTCTCTCTCTTGCTTCTCCTGCAACCCAGAGTTGTGATACGTTATGTACAGTGAAATAACGCTGGTAATGGGTTAGTTTATCCTTGAAAAGGTTACAATACGCTAATAATGGAATAGTTCCTCTTTGAAGAAGATCAAATACTCTAATAATGGATTAACTCCTTGAAAAAAAGATGACATTAATAATGGAATAGTTCCCCCTTGAACAGGTTACACTATACTAATAGTACTCCCCTCAAGGGAGGTTCCTTGATGCTGGTGAAGGGCTCTTGATCTAGGGAATTGGATCTGTGCTCCAGTTCCCTGAATTAAGCCTGAATGCCTCCCATCCCCCCACATGCGCTGTATAATCCTACGGGTTTAGCGCTCCCCATAATAATAATATAAATACACTAATACTGGGTTAGTTTCCCTTGAAAAGATTACAACACTCCAATAATAGTATAGTTTCCCCTTAAAAGACAGCAGTAATAGAAAAGTGCCCCTTCAAAATAACTATACTATAATAATTATTATTATTATAATCAAGGGGGAAGCGCTAAACCCGGAGGATTATACAGCGCCTGGGGGGGGGATGTGGAAGGCATTCAGGCTTAATTCGGGGAACTGGAGCACAGATATACTATAATAATAATAATAGAATAGTCACCTATTCGAGAGGCTAGTATTAAGTGATAAAGGAATAGTTACCCTATAAAAATTAAAATTACGCACACAAAAATGACTAGACAAATAGTCAAAATCAACAAAACGGAATCAGAACCCCTGCCGATAACATGTGGAGTTCCCCAAGGTAGTATTCTGGGTCCCTTATTATTCTTATGTTATGTCAATGATATGCCTATCAGTGTCAAGTGCAAACTCCTTCTGTATGCAGATGACAGTGCTCTGTTAGTGACAGGTAAAGACCCACAAGATATTGCTAATGTTTTAACACTGGAACTGGAGTCCTGCAGCAAATGGTTAGTAGACAACAAACTATCATTACACCTAGGGAAAACTGAAGGGAGCAGTCAGGTTCACGGGGTCGACTTTTTTATTTTTCAACCGATTACGTTCATTTTTGGTGTACTATTAGAAGCTTACATCAAACCTCCTGTGCTGAAGTTTCAATCATATCGGCCAAAAAGGAAATGAAATATGCAAAATTTTCGAAAAATTGCATTTGGCAGCGAAGTCCCACTTACAGGTACTTGGAAAAGTGGTTTTGACACTTGCTGCTGATAGAACACCTCTAATTCTATCACTGTAAGTGTACCAATTCTAAAATAAACCTTATCTTCATGCTAAAAAAAAATAGGTTTCATAACTTTTTTTTCCATAATGGAAGATGTCGGTCTTGTTTCCCACATAAATCTAAAAATATTTGGGATAGTTCAGAAAGGTACACTCTACCTTGTAAATCAAGCATTCTCCTATGTTTGTTGTGAAAATCAAGTCAATTCAATCATAAACAAAGATAGGGTGGACCTAAATAGGTAAATAGGTTACTTTCGAGAAATAGGCCGAAGCGCGCGGCACCCCAGCTGCCCGGGAAATAATTTTTTTCCCCGAAAAATTCGCTTTATTTTACACTTTTTGCGTGACCTACGAGTTTTTATTACAGTTAACCATTGAAAAATCGTTTTCTCTCATCACCTGTATGAGAGAACGAACCTTCAGGGGATACACCGATAGAAATTTTTCCCTCTAGGGGATCACATTTTTTACGCAATATGACGCGTCAGCACTGTCACCATGCCTGTTATAAATGGCTGTAATTCCTTTTAGAAACATCGTACAAGGATAATAATTATACCAGAGTGTAGCCAGAAAGTTCAGCTATTTTTTGGTAACAATAACTCCATTTTCATATTTTGTCGAATTTTTTTTTGCTCCGCGCTCGTGAACCTGACTGAGAAGGGTAAATAATTTTAATGTTCAGTGTAATGGGGAGTCCATCACTTTGGTTTCATCAGTAAAATATCTGGGAATCCCCTTTGACCCATGCATGTCAGGAGAATTGATAGGGAACAGTGTAGTAAAGAAAGCGAATGCCAGACTGAAGTTCCTGTATAGACAAGCACAGTGTCTACCTACTGAGGCTCGCAGGACCCTATGTCTAGCCCTTATACAATGCCATATGGATTACGCTTGCTCTTCATGGTACTCTGCCTTGACAAAAAAAAACTGAAAGATAGACTGCAAATCACCCAGAACAAAATCGTAAGATTCATCCTGGGGCTGGGACCAAGAGAACATGTAGGCCAGGATGAATTACAGCAGTTGGATATGCTGAATGTTGAAGACAGAGTAAAACAACTGAAGCTAAATCATGTTTATAAAATTGCTCACGAACAGTGTCCAGAATATCTTGCTGTCAATTTTGTCAAGGTTGGGAACGAAGCAATCATAGTACTAGGGGGAGAGAGCACAACTTTGTAGTACCCACAGTCAGTGGCCAGGCGTCAAACACCTTTTATTGTACAGCAATAAAGGAATGGAACAGACTGCCCGCACATGTCAAAGCCAGTCATAGCATGAACCAGTTCAAGAAGACTGCCAAAAAGTGTCTGATGAATGAAGCTACAGAAAGGGAGGGGAATGATTTTCTATTTTTTAGCTAAAATACGTGTAAATTTTACCTTATTCCTAGTAATGACCCTCGTGTAGTAGATAGTCTTTTTAGTATGATAATAAGATGTTATCTTCATTGTAGAATAATAAGAAAATATTATAACCTTTATATTATAATAATAAGGTAAAAGGACCCCAATGGAAATAAGTCACTCTGTCTGACTTTTTTGGGTTATCCTAGGTTCTCTACACATATGCTGCTATGTATGATAATTCTATGTAACTGTATTTGTGTATACCTGAATAAATTTACTTACTTACTTACTAGTTGTCCATTAAAACCTACCACCCACACTATGAGTATGTGGTGACTACCTGCTGCCACCGGTCACCTAGCAGTAAGTAGGTACCTGGGTGTTATTTACTTGGTATGGGTGGCTTCTTTGGCGTGGTAAAATACCTAAGATAGAGTGGAGCTTTGAAATGAGTTGAGATAGGATAACACAGCTCTTAATCTGTAAAATCAATCACTGCAAAAAAATAAAAAAAAACGAACAAGCTCACACTGAACCTGCAACTTAATTAAAGCTGATATAATCAACACAGCAGTGGCAGTGGAGCGAGTCATAACACAGGAAATTGAAGTCGTGTGGGACAAAAAGAAGGCGGAGAAGGAAGGGAAGGAAATAAGCAAGAAGATGAGACTCCAGAAGTCATAGAGAAATAGAGTCAACAACAACAGACCTAACTACGAACCTACTCACCATACAAAACATCCATACTTATTACTGCACCTATTACATACATAGAACACTTAACTCTGATATTAACCCTCCCCTCAAACATCTCCTTGCCAACCTCAACAGAACACATGACCGGAAATAAGCAAGAAGATGAGACTCCAGAAGTCATAGAGAAATAGAGTCAACAACAACAGACCTAACTACTAACCTACTCACCATACAAAACATCCATACTTATTACTGCACCTATTACATACATAGAACACTTAACTCTGATATTAACCCTCCCCTCAAACATCTCCTTGCCAACCTCAACAGAACACATGACCATAACACAAGGCACAGATCACTCTTTGATGTTCCTCGTGTCCATCTCACATTATGCAAAAACTCAATGCACATAAAAGGCCCTAAAATCTGGAATTCATTACCTGTAAATATAAAAGAAACACTACCTGTTTATAAATTCAAGTCTCTTCTCAAAGATCACTTACTCACCCAAAACCAAATAAATACTGAATAACTGAACCTTATAAACTGTATATCTTAAATGTTTCTCACAATTATATCACATAAATGTTAAACCTAAAACCCAATCTAACTTTATTATTTTTTAAATACACTACCTAACAGAATACTCCATACGACTGAATGTACAACAATGCATGCAACCATATGACCTGTCTTTGTAATACTCATTTGTGCTTTATAGTTATCTGTTTACAATAATGTATTATCACTGATTTCATCATTGCTTAGTTAATTTTAAGCCAGCCCGTAATGCTATGCATAGTATAAGTGGCTTTGGCATGCTGCTCTTATCTGTATTTTTTTGTACCTCTGTATGTATGCTCAAATTGTAAATAAATAAATAAATAAATAAATAAATAAATAAACCATATTCTGTAAATTCAGCATTGTAATCCTTGTAGAGAATAAACTTTGTACAAAAGTCAAAGAAATGGAGTCAACAACAACAGGCCTAGAGAAGTCAAAGAAATGGAGTCAAGACATTAGCGACCTCCAAGCTCCGTACTTTTCTCCAACTATCAGAGCTACCAATGCTCCTATGATGACCTAGTTACATGCAAAACTGCACTACCCAACGTAGCACCCAGAATGACCAAAGACTACCAACAGTGAAACCTACAAATCGAACATAATAGAGATCAAAGGAAGACTGCCCACAAACCGAAAGCAAGACCCCGCTGCCAGCCGAACAACGTAACCCTAAACTTTGTTTAACTACAACTTCTTCTTAACTACAACAATTCCTGTAGTATTATGAGGCGCAATCTAAGAGGAAACAGCACCAAGGCCAGCAAGAAAACACCGAAAAAATCAACTATTCAACAAGTGTAGCCAGGAGGACGCCGGCCCAGCAACCACCCCACTCACCACCACTCAAGGCAACACCACAACAATGATGAGATTAAGACACATGTGCAACATCTGGGTATCTTTATTGTAGACGTTTCGCCATCCAGTGGCTTTATCAATACAAATTCTAGGACATAATAACAACAATAACAATAACAATAATAACAATAACAATAACAATAATAACAATAACAATAACAACAAAGAGGAAATGGTATGGTGATACCGACAAGATGTGGAAAAAGACACTTATGTACAGTTCAGGACATTTATTAAAGGAAACGTTTCGCCACGAGTGGCTTCTTCAGTCCTAATACAGAGAAAACTAAGAAAACACAC